CAAAGTTATACTGATAGGTGAGGTCTAACTAGAATCTCCATGCAGCCAATGATTCGTTCTCAATCTTGACTGAGTGGGCAGAGTCATCTGGAGGCTTGGTAAAACAAGGATGGCTGGGCCCCCCCCCCCAGCCTGATTCAGCAGGCCTCACATGAGGCTGAGAATCTGAGTTTCTACGAAGTTCTCGGATGATGTTGATGTGGTCTCAGCAGAGTACACATTGAGAACTACAGGCCAGTTAGTTAAGAGTAGATCGTAGGTCTGTAAAAAATGGTAACAAATCTGTGTTCTTTCCCCGCTGCCTAGAGAATGAGGGGGATGCAGATCTCTACAGCCAGAGCCCCAGAGGAAGAAGATATACATAGGGACAGTCCACCACTGAAGAACAGAACTCGCAAGGTGAAGAAGTAGGGAAGGAGAGGAATGAAGAGAGAGAGACAGGGAGAAGAGAGGAAGAGAGGGGAGTAAAGGGGAGAGAAGGGGGAGAGAGGAGCTGCCTCTCTTTCCAACACCCCCTCCAAACTAACAATCTGCCTAGGTAATAGTTGCTCAACACTTAAATGCAGTTTTACCACATAACCACAAAGAAAAAGCTTCCAATAAAGTGGACCTTATTACGTATTTGAGGCTTTGCCTTGAAAAGCACAATGCTGTTCCACAGAGAAAGGAGAGCTAAATTGCTTTCTCTCCTAAGGCTTCTCCCATCCAAGTCAAATGACAGTGTCCTCATCCATCACTTCTGCCAATAAAATGACCAGAGAGAAAAGCAAACCAGCACTGGGAAGATTCAAGCAACCAGTGCCTCTAGGACCTGTAGGGATTACGCAACAAGGATCCTCTTCGGTTCTTACTGAACCACTTCTATGCCCCCAACCCCCACCTGTTGGGGGGATGGTCCATGCATCTGCGAAAAAGAATACACAGCACCTTAATTCCGGTGTTGAAAGCACTAATCCTTATTCTTGCTTTCCAGTTCAAAATGCCCCAGCACCACTCCCCACCCCCTACAGCTGCTGACTTTTGCCCTCGGTAAAACAGCACTTATTACTGATATAAAAATGGAAGAACAGTCTGGTGTAGGACTATTTCTGGTGTCATTAGTAATTTTATATTTTTGTTATTATGCTTTCACTTGGTTACAACCAAAGTTATTACAATGTGCAAGTTGCCACTATTTTAGAAAATTAATTGCAGTTTTCTGTGACAATATTATGCCTTATTCCAATTAGAAAATGAAAGCAGAGAGGGCACACAGGCAGTTCAGTGTTTTGAGAATTTAGCAAAACTTGAGCTCAGCAATCTCCAAATGCCTAACTTCAAAAACCAAACAGAAACTAGCAAAGAGCATTCCCCGGCTCAAGTATAAGGTAGCCAGACACAAATAAGACCCTGAGTCACAAAATAGCATACCCAGCTTGGAGGAACCTGGAATGGGCAGAAGGGAGGGGATGATCAAATATGTGCTCAGTCTTACTTTTCCAGATTTGCCAACCACACTAAAGTCGGGAAGACTGAGCCTAGTCTCAGAAGCAGAGAAGGGAAATATCAAAAAGACCGTGATCCTAGAAACAAAGGTAAAAATTAAAATGGCTCAACATAGGGGCAGAACAGAATCCAGAACGCAGATATTCATGGGAGAGCTCTTGAAGGCAACAACAACTGAGAGAAGACAGGAGGGGAAGCACAGAGAGCCAACAAGCTAAGTAAGGTCTGGCAGGAAGTGGAGCACAAAGGCCACAGTGCCTGTGACAGGATTAGCCAAGGATCCAAGCCCCACGCATAAAACCACATGTAAACCAGAGACTGTGTCTCTCTCCCTTGCTTGAAGGGGCTGCGGGCAGAAACCTAAAATGAAGAAAGGAGTCCATAAGAACAGCGGCTCTCAAACTCAAGTGTGTTATTAGAATTACTTGGAAAGTTTGGTGTACAAATGCAGATACCCCTCCCGCCCCATTCTTATGCAGATATGTAGCCCCCCCCCCCCCCCCCCCCC